GCACTCACAGGAGTTAAAGCAGTAGGCGCGCTACTATTGACTGATTTGCACGCTTAATAAAGCTGTTAACATGACAAAAGCTATGTGGATATAATTTGATGAAATTTATTTTAAGCCTTAAAAAAAAAAAAACTGCAAGTACGCTGAGTTCACTCATGCACAATACAACATGTTGAATTGGACACTGATATAATAGTTTTTAGTAAATGTAATTCACAAGTACAGAAAAGCCAATTGTCCAGGATATTGTCACCCAACAAATGATCATTGAATTCTTTTTGAAAATGTATATCTTTAAAATTTGAATACTTATATTAATCCTGGAGAAAACCCAAAACTATTTTTTTATTGCTTTAAAAAAAAAAAAAAAAGACAACTCTGTCTTTTTTAACATTACAAGTGTTTAAAGAATACAAGTCAATGGCTCTATTATAATTCCTCTTTGCATTTTCTCAGTGGTTCTGCAAACCTGTAATGTGCACTTCCACTCACTTCACTTGTAAATCACTAGATTTACAAGTAAATACCCTAAAATGGAGTTAAAGCGATTCATCTAAGTCGGAGTCATATTCTCACAGGGTCAATGGCACAGAATGAGGCCATGAACAAAGTTTGATTCAATGCTTGGCAAAGTATCTTTGTTTTTATTTGTCCAAATTTTTCTATCAGCATGTTTATAAAGCAAACAAAAACAATCATGGAGATTTAATGTGATTTTGTGCTCTCAGTCTTTCTCTTGAAATTAGTGAATTCTATCATAAGCTTCCCAAACTATCAATAAAAACAAAGAAATTCCTTTTTTTTATGTACTAAAAAGAAAAATCTGTTCATTAAAAAATAATAAAAACAATATAACATAAAACCAACCAGGCGCATGCAGAATTAATACAACTATTCTATCCATTTATGCAATATAACCTTTCCGTTTTTTTGTTGTTTTTTTATGTAAAGGGAGAAAGTTTGCTTTGTTTTCTTGGGAAGGGCCTCGATTCTGATTTCGCTATTTTCATATTAGCAGATGTAAATAGAAATCTGATAAGTTTTGTGAACTTTAAAAATGTTTTTGACTTTCTCTCTTAGATGACAAACACAGGAAATCTTGTATTCAGAATACATGTTAAGATTTAGAGCACACGTGTTGGCAACACATTTTATAGGAACAACTCAACAGATGTTCACATAAAACGATATTGTTTAAAGAGGTTTAAGAAGAAGTTGGACATCATAACAACTGAATCATCCACTGTGGATAATAAAAGTTGCTCAAACTTCCCTTGTAAAGCACTTAGAAATCCATCTCACCATGGGATCATTATCAGTTTTGATGGAAAACATGAAACTAGCCAGTTCTGTCTCCTATTTCTTGATATGAGAAATTGTCTGGTGCTGTGCCACATTTCCCTCTTCCATCTGCTGACAGTAAATTCCCATACACAGATTGCTTTTAGCTCCAAAGTTTCCTTAGTACTTAGTATGTATCACTAAGCTTTGAGATGGGAAGTACTGCCTTGAGCTTTCACAGTGATAGTTTTCCTAATTTACTTTCAACAACCTCTGGGGAGTTGCCTTGTTCTGATTTAGGACCAGTTCTTTATCTTCTATCAATTAAAAGTAAATGGGATGCATTTATAATATTAATGGTCTAAGTTTCCTCCCAATGTTTTTGTCTTGGGGATTGTGCCTCATAAAAAATTGCTATGATCATCTTTTGCAAATAAGAATATTTTGTTTTATAGGTCAGTTTGATATGATGTTAACTCCAGTAGATAGTGACCACAAGAGGTCAGCCAATGCAAAACATTTAGTAAAGTGGACGTTTAAAAAAAGAAAAACAAAACTGCTTCAGGATGAAACAAAAGTATCTAACAGCAGCGGCCTCTGCGGTTTGTAGAGTAAAAATATCCCATAGGTTCATATTTTGTGCCTTTTAATTTCAGTTTTATATTAACATATATATGTGCATGAGCGTTTATCTGTCAAGCAGAATTAAAAAAAAAATCATGTTGACTTTTTTCTTTCAGTCTCTGCTTTACATGCATGCCTTGTCATATCTTCTCCCTCACTCACCTGCCCTTAGGAGAAGAACTAGAATATCAGTGATTCACAAAACCACTAGAGGTGATTAATGAACTCCTGCAGAAATACACTGCTCATAAAAAGGAGCTGACTTCTGTGGAAACTACCTCCACAGCATTGGGTTATAATAGAGACTAAAATACAACATACTCCAAATTCCTAGCAATGAACCTCCATACTCTTTATGTTTTCCTACTGAATGTGGTGTATTGAGTGACATAATATCTAAGCTTGATGGATTGCAAATCCTACTAACTAATGTTGTTTTGGTAGACTGATTGTCGCCATCCAAGGTACCATAAATGCCTTCGGCCATTATTTACTCCTAATAGTTTACATATTAAATTACTCTTGTGGAAGATGAGGCAAAACATATTTACCAAGGGGTCTGTTTTGGAAGAGGAGGAAGTCTGGTTCTAATGATGATAATTTTATTAAAGATAATCTCTGATCATACGGAAGTTGGCATAGAAGCATTTTATTTTTATGTCTAAAAACTATTACTTTATATAGCACCTCTGTTTTCTTAATGGACAAATACATTTTCGCAGCACTGACAGTCTTGCTGTGTTCCGGTGACATTTCTTTGAGGGCTAAATCATTTGACTAATAATAAAAGTTAAAAAAGAAGCTGACACTTAATAAATTGTGTGTTTCTGTAGAAACAAAAATGTCCCATAAATGAAATTTTCAAAGCTATTTTTGATATGGATAAAATATGTGATGGAGCTGCAGCTTTATTTAACCAAATTTTATCAAGAGTGAATGTGCATGTTTAAACCAGTACAGTATATATACAAATATTTGAGAAAATATTGACAAAACATCCATCCATCCATCCATCCATCCATCCATCCATCCATCCATCCATCCATCCATCCATCCATCCATCCATCCATCCATCCATCCATCCATCCATCCATCCATCCATCCACCTTATACTTTCCTGTGCCTGTGTCAGCAGATGACTACAGGTGGATGGAAAAATTACATTAAATTAGTATCTTATAACACAATTAATGTCTATGAGAAATTTTAACTTCTGATCAAAACTGTGTATAAGGCAGTTTTAAATATTAAAATATCAAACGATTAATAGCAAATAAATGATAGGATAAAATGGCATAAACAGGTGGTTATACTCACATGATAATTAAATACATTCAAAAATATATACATTACTTTAAAAGACACTTAAATAAAATATCTGCCCATATAATTTGACAATAATGAAACCGAGATAAAGAAGATGGATTTAAAGTACTTATGATCAACATTCCAGAGCAAAGAAAAGCCTGGAAAAGAGGTGAAGAAACATATCCAAGCATATTCGAGTGACTGAGATGATTTGGGCATGTACAGAGGAGGGGTTGTAAGTACATCAGGATATTAAAGCTAGAACTGCCAGGCAAAAGATCTAGAAAACCAAAAAGGAGATATGTGGAATGAGCTGCAAATGACAAGAAGATAGATGGTGTGCCAGAAGAAGATGAAGACAATATGGTTAAAAAAAGAGATGATTTCCCTGTGTCTACCTTTGAATGGGAGAGCCAGAAGAAGGAGATTATTTAATAATAATGGAAACAAGAGTATGTATAATCATAATGTGGAATGTTCCAAAACCTTCATAAACATCAACTTACTCATATTTTATTTATTTATTACACAGTCCTATTGTTGAACACTTATTGAATTTATTTTAATCCACCAGTATTATATCAGCATTCAAAGGCAGAGGTCAGAGCAAACACTGCTATATAAAGGTGATTGGTATTTACAGCTCATGGTAGACGGTTACTCCATTTGCATGTGAGAATATATTCGAGGACCTATAATGAAAGCTTGAATTAATAAGGGTTTATTGTATGAAAAGAAATATGAAGTATTTCAAAGCACATAATGCACATAGTTGAATGAATCAGTTAATGAATGGATGAATGAATCTGGCTGAGATATGTTTAAAATAAAATTCAATAACTGAACAACATATTTAAATGCACATATCCTCATCCCATATTTTGCAACGGGATCAGATAATAAAGCTAACTGACTTATGGGTTCAACTTTTTATTATTAAATTACTTTTTCAAAAAGAATTTGACATCTTTAACCGCTGAGAGATATTTTTTTAAATCAATGTATTTAGATTTTTTTGTGAAAATTACAGTCACAATTTTTTTTTTCAACCAGTCATCGAACAGTTTTGGTCCTGAGTTTTGATCTAGCCTCTATATGGAAGAGGATTAGTGCCACTGAAAAAAAAAACAAAAACTGATTTTTAAGTTTTATTTCAGTATAATATGGGGGAAAAAAGTCTGAATTTTGACTTTAATCTCAGAATTCTAACCTTTTCTCATAATTCTGACTTTTTTTTCTCAGAATTCTGATTTCTTTTTCAGAACTCTGACTTTAATCTCAGAATTCTGACTTTTTTCTCACAACTCTGACTTTAATCTCAGAATTCTGACTTTTTTCCTCACAATTCTGACTTTAATCTCAGAATTCTGACTTTAATCTCAGAATTCTGACTTTTTTCCTCACAGTTCTGACAGTAATTTCAGAATTCTGACTTTTTTCTCAGAATTCTGACATTAATCTCAGAATTCTGACTTTTTCTCATATGGTACTGAAATAAAATTTAAAAATCACTTAACCTTTTTTATTTTTTCAGTGGACCCTAATCCTCTTCCTTACTCTTCTGCTCTATTTACTCAGTCACATTTTTTTTCTTTTTTCAGAAAATGCTTTAGATAAGCTGTTTGTTTATTCTATAGCCAGGTTCCTGCTGCAACAGCAACTATTGTAAAATTCCTAAGGCTGTTTTCACAATCATTAAAAACACTTTAAAAACACGTACATACTTTTAACATAAACACAAACTGAATCTATTTTTAAGAAAAGAATGCTGTCCAAGCAATATGATATGCGTTATATCCGCAGCTGCGTCTGTCAGCCGCATAGTAATCAAAATTACAAGCTGCACTAGAACGCACCACCATAGCAAACAGTGGATCTCCCTGGAGCAACAAGCCTGAGCGGACAAAACGCCCATTTCTGCAGCGGCGTCCTCTGTGCTCCGAAGGGAACAGCAAGAACTTTAAAGCTCTTTTTCTAGCACTAAAACTGTAAGTATTTGGACGGTTGTGAGATTAAAACGTTTGCTTTACGTTAATATTGGTAATATTGTTTAAACTTTATCCTGCGTATAATCAACGCAGGTGTGTTTTTTTTCTCCAGGATGCCCGACTGCGCATATCCCACATCATAGGAAGTGTTTTCCCTGCGCAGTAAAAACATTTAGATTTTCTTTATGTTTATGCAGGTAGTTACGGCGAAAAAATAAACAAGTAGTTAATTAAAACGTTTCAGTACAACAGACTTAAACAGAGAGAAATTAGGGAGGCCTTGTATTAAAAGAGTTATGTTTGCTTAGAAAAAAGTATTATTTAGGTGATAATAGCAGTATCACTGATTAGATTAAATTTTTCTTCTTTATTAGACAAGCACATTTATTTTATAGAATATTTCCCATAAAGCCAATTAAAACACAACGTCTTTAATAATTAAATCCCATTTGTATTTAGGACACATTAAAAATCTAAAACAAAATATGTGCATCTTGCATTATTTTTCAACTTGTATGCAAAATGTATCCAAACACTCATTGGTCCTTTGGAGGAATGATCCTAATAGTTGGTCCCCTGGATCATTTGATTAGAAGATAAACGTCTCTTAACGACATCAGTGCATGGTGGATGCCCTAAGCCTAAAACTAAACCTAACCTTTACCAATGTATACCTCACCCTAACCAATTAACCATTGGCTTAATAGCATGTGAGGACCATCAAAATGTCCTCACTTTGCAACAGCTGGTCCTTAATTTGATGGTGAAATTGGAAAATGGTCCTCACTCTGAGAGCAAGACAGGCAACACACACACCCCTACATAAATATATATTTTCCCTGGTGGGACTGGTGCTTATCTCCAGTGGTCCTTGGGTGAGAAGATGCTGGCATGCATGGTACATGTGCATCACATGTGGAAGAACATTGGCAGAATGTAAATGATCATTTAAAATTGTGTGAATGCAATTTTTAAAAGCACTATTGGCTGATCCAGTCCCTTTTTTTCACATTTTGGCTGCCTTATTGAACCTCAGTTATTTTTTGTCTTTGCGGCTGTGGATTAACGGAAACACTGTAGATCAATTTTATTGATTGAAGTGCTTTCTATTCCCTGAACTTTTATTTACAGTATTAGGACCACACACTCTTCTGTATTAATAATTCAATGGATCATGTTATTTATTTATTTCATGCATTGCATAAAGAAGATGGTCCCTGAAAGTTTGGTCAAATTCTTCTGCATAGATGCAGCAGTCTGATTAGACTAATAAGTGATTACAATGAATGTAAACAATCCAATGTGTTACTAAATCACAATTACTAAATCAGCACAGCATATATATAATCAAGATTTGTGCAGATGGAACCACAAACTGAACCAGCATTGGCCGGTTTCTTTCATTGTCTTTTTTTTATTCTGTTGTTTTTTTGCACAAAAAAAAATTTCTAGGCTGAACTACAGCTAAGACGATGTCAGCGACTTATAAGGATGACGGGGAAGACTGGTTGACTGTTTGCCTCAAGTACCTACTCTTTGTCTTCAATTTTCTATTTTGGGTGAGTGGCTTTCAACAAGGGAAACAAAAGTACAAATTATGCTGCTTTTCCCTTAGGCTGCATCTGGTTTTACAGAACTGCCTGTAAAACTCAAGAACAGCCTCTATGAAATCAGTAGCATTTTATATTCTGCAAAAACAGACATACTGTCAACCTGTATTGAGTTGTTGTATTTAGGGATTGCATGTTATTAGCAGTAGATTATTATAATAAACCTGACTTTCTGGTGTGTTGCCTAACAACTCCACAGTACCATTCAATTCTCAACTAGCAAACCTGAACTTAATGGAAGAGTAGGAGAAAGCCATTGCGACACCTTGGTAGCAGAGTCATGCTGTGGGAAAGCTTTTATACAGCAGGGGAAAATTTATTGTTGTTGCAGTAATTTAGAGCAATCCAGGAAACGTCTTAGGGACTTCAAAAGCTTTGGGACTGTCCTGTACAGTCACATCCCAGCAGGAAAACACACAGATTAGAATATATATACATTTGAAACAGAATTTTTTTGCATGACTTTGCAAACTGATGTCCAGAAACTCTGAATCCTTACTTTCCAAAAATAAGATTTGCAATTTTTCCATTATGTCCACATAGGGCGGCCTTATGTAAACATATCACCAGAATGATTGTCAATTAGGAGGAGTATTTATTTTGATGGTCCACCTGAAAAAAGAACATCCTCCATATAACCATTAATTTGATCAGATGATTGAGCAAACACTTTTAATTTCTATATGTGTAAAATATCCCAAAAGATCTATACCCATTCTAAAACCATAACTATAATAATAAAAAAATAAATAAAAAGAAACGGTCATTTTTTGCAATTGGAATAATTTTACAAGGCATTGTAAACACCACAGAGCAGGTATTTTTATCCTAAGATCAAATGTAATCTGAAGATTTAGATTGAATGACTGTATTAGATATGTACACCTCTGACACGATGTCTTCAGTAAACAGGATATAAGGAGAAGCTCTCAAAGGATCTCAGTCTCATTGTTTACTTACAAGCTCAGGACTTTTTTTTAGCTATTGGAAGATTCAATATTTCCTTGTGTTTTACTTCCTTTCTAGATGTGAATCTAGTATTCATAGTGTCCTTTACCAGTATAATGTTTATAGTTGGCAATTTCTCGCTGTGAATAAGAATGTCTTACTGGAGACAGAAAGGGAAGGGTGTTTGAAGGCCAGAGGTTCTGAGGCATTTCCTATTTGCCTGTTTCCTATCTGTGAACCTTTAGAGATGTGAAAAACAGATCTAGGAGCCACTTTAGGTCAGCCGCTCCATATTGTTTTGAAGGAAGTAGTCATTATGGCCTTCTCTTTCTCTTTGTGTTCTCATTGGTCCTGTGGGTCTCTTTTTTTCACTGACTTTTCCATGTTTCTCCTCATGTTCCCTTCATCCTTTTCCCCTCTGCCCTAATTTATGGCCTGTTTTACTTCTGCACTGCCATCTGACTCATCTAATGGAGTGAACTATTTTTCTTTCCAGCTAAAAGGGCTGTTCACATCTTGCAGATCTTTTTTCATGGAATACATGAAAATTATGTACTAGCCTTTTGCAGAACATGTTTGAAATAAATCTCGCATTTCATTTTCTTTGCATCTGCAGGTGGGTGGAGCTGCAGTCTTGGGTGTAGGAGTGTGGACAGTGGTGGAGAAGAGCGACTACTTGAGTCTTTTGGCCTCCAGCACTTTTGCTATCTCAGCTTATATCCTGATCCTGGCTGGAAGCCTGGTGGTTGTCACTGGCTTCTTGGGCTGCTGTGCTGTTATCCGGGAACAGAGAAGCTGTCTTTCTACGGTGAGAAATGAGTTACAGGGCATTTGTGTTTATATCATGGCCTTCATTTTATAGGTGGTTAAGCCTTGAGTGCATTAGTTGCTACATAATGCTGGTTATTGTGTGTGGCTTCTAATTGATATAATATTTTCAAATACAATTTAAAAAAAATTCTGCTCTACATTTGGTCTATTTATTTTAAAGAGGTTTTACATCTATTTATTTATATATTTTTGTCATATCTTGCGCCGGAAGCTCGGAAAGTTTGGATAACTGGAGGATACCTTTGGGTGTATCACTAGGGAAATTAATTTAAACACAGGTCCAAATGTTTTAAAGAATGGATAAATTAGGCTAAGATTTCGCTTCTTGAATAACCTTGTTTTAAATCACACTGAAACTCTGTGATTTGTATCGTAGGAGCAGAATGCATCAGAAAAAACAAGCAATTTTAATGAACTGAATGATTTCTGAAGAGAAAAAAAACAGCTTTCCAGAACCATGTCCATGTCTACAGTGTGTGTTCTTTTATTCAGCAATTAATGGATAGAGTTCTTCGTTTAACTGAAAGATTTTACTTTTTTGTGGGAATATTCTGAAAAAAACACAAAAACTAATTAAGTTTAAAAGAAAAAAACTAATTATGACTGTCATTCACACAGTGAGTGTATTTTAACTCAGCTACTTTACCACTTCTTCATGGAGAGGAAGATGGGCATTACTAATTGGTTTATGCAACCAAAACCTCTCACCATCCGGTTGAATGGTCCTACATCACTCCTTGTAAATCTACAATGCTGATTAATTCTCTCTCATATACCGCTTTCTGCCACATTTGCTTTGGTCCATCACACCTGTGCAGGAGTTTGACATGGATCTCTTCGCTGCCATCCTTGTTTTAAAGGTCTGTCACAAGACGGTGACAAATGACTCTTACGAGGCCTTCACTGTCCTCATTATTTTACAAGGAAAAGGACCACAGGGACAGAAGCGGGTGGGAGGTGAATGTTCTCTGCTGCAGGGCTATTTATAGGTCTGCCTATCAACTGTTGATGGATTCAGGAAAAGAATGTGAGAGAGCAACGTATCTGCAGGAGCTATGTGATACAAACATAGAGGATTGGGAATATGCTTTAATACCAAGAGCTTCCATGTGTTATTTTTAGGTTATAATTAAGAAATGAATTAGACTTGGATTTACAGGTTTTTTATTGTTCACACAGAACCTTTTTTTCTTTCTTTTTTTATCGTGTAACCAGGAGAAACGGAGCAGGTTTTGTTTTTGCAGGGCACAGTTAATGAGATACTTAAGAGCAACACATCACTATTAATTCAGATTTTCTTCATGCACAAGTCCAATATTCACAGTTTACAGTTATGTTAAAGTGTTTTTCCCATTACAGAATTACCTCCCTGCCTTTCTTTATTTGTGAAACTTAAAAATATTGCTTATGTAAATATCTTAATAATATCTTATTGTTCATGAAGTCAAATTGGCAGAACTTATAGTTGGTTCATGTTGTTGGTTTAGGTTTATGTTTACTCTCTAGACATTTCCCCAGCATCCACTGATAAACTGCATGAAAAGCATTTCGTTTTTTATGCAGTTTATCACCTATTGAACAACATGCTGTTTGAGGTTTTTGTTTTCTTATTGCTTTTTGGTTTTTAAGACTTTTAAGACTAACTAAGATTATTGTTACATCACTTAAATGACCTCTTTTACTTTAAGTGGAGACAGTTGTTTTTTTTTACATTTCTGGTTGGTTTAACTGAAATTCTCCTTCAAATGTTGGACATTATTTTTGTATTATTTATAACGCCAAATGTAAAGAAAACTAAATAGATCTATTTTTGTAATTGTTTGGTATTAATGCACATAAAAGAGGATTGGCTTAAACTGAGATTGGCCTTATAATAACATCAAAGATCCTTAGGTGCCATTGTGAACCAAGTTCTTATAAGAGCTATTGTTTCATGTTGATTTAATCCACAAAGTTGTCTTTCCTGAAGTGTATAACCCACTATTTCAGCCAACATTAATTTATATACTGCCTAGTGGGGATGCCCCAATTAAAACTTTTTCATTTTAAAGATGATGCAGATATTGCAGCTTTGAAAATTTGCAGATACGGATATTGAACCCAGTGGTGGCTGCAGAGTATTTTTTTATGATTCAACTATGGTGGGGTAAACCCATAAGGGAATGGGGCTCTAATAAATGCAAATTATAAAGTGAATATATATTCAGTGAAGCAACGTCCTCCCACAGTTCGAAACCTACACATGCAAACACTCATATTAAAAAGTAGTGCCAGCAACTAAAATGCAAGAAGACAGTGTAAAAACTGTTATTTATCACCAAAAGACCACAGTATCTTTCTGCTCTCTCACAGCAAGCTCTCTGCAGCAGGCAGACTCACACACACTCAAACAAACATGTCTCTCCATATTTGTGGGGCCTTTCTATTAATTTCTAATTTACTCCCTAACATTGTGGGGTCCACTACATTGGGTCCCGTCTTTGGTCCCCACATGGCCTGTTGGTCCTCAGAATGTTACTAAATGTACAAAAAACAGCAGATATAGAAGGCGATGAGACCAAAATAAGATTAGACTGGACCAGTAACGCAAAGTCACAGATCACCAAATTCAGCACAAGCTGTCTCAAAGCCAAAGTCTATCAAAAAACAGAACATAGTCAAAACATGTCTCCAACAAATTGAATATGCTGCTTAGGAAACAGGACTGCATGAAGGAAGAGCATGAAAAACTCCCCTGGGTTGAGTTGCCCCATAGATCTTAAACAGCATAGCTCCACCAAGCCCTACTCTGGAGCTGCCTATGTTAACCCAATTAGATATAAGATTTAAATCTTACATACTTGTATTACTAATTTAGTTTCTTTTTTCAATCTTTATCCTTAACACAGAGCTAAAACTATAATAATACATAGTAAAACAACTGATCTGTTTTTTTTTCTATTATTATTTACGCTTAAACCTATCAATATTCTTCAGTTGTATAAAATAAAATGTAATAAATAAGACTGTGGATAACAAGTCAGACTGATTTCATAGATCAATGTTGGATTGGGACAGCCCTACTGATAAGCCCCATCATTTGAGAACCAGTATTATATCCTGTGTAATCACTATTATTTCTGTCATCACCAGAGTGATGAAGTAAATGGAAAAAAAATTGCACCGGTTTTCGATCCAAAACAGAAGTTGTTGCTAAAGTCAAACTAAATACAATGTGGCTATACTTGCAATTAAGATAACTTGAGGCGGATTCTGGTATTTACTCATTTGATTAGATACAAATATGTTGTAGGTACAAGCTTTAAATACAAAAGATCTCATCATCACCATTTGATTTCCTAATACTGCATGTTGTAGCTCTTCTAGGAACTCGTAATTGAGCCAAATGTTTCAGAATCTGTCAAAATCTGTTAACGACTGCTCCTCCACCGTAATGTTTAGTAACACTTTGTAATCTGTTCAGGTTTGACAGAAATGCACCAATCAAAACTGGAAACTTTCTTTTATTAAAAGCTTTGTGGCCCTGTTAGAAATTATTCATTAGTAGCTGGACAAAAAGGACAGAACAAGAATCTCAAGATTTGCAATAAATGGTCCCAGACTAGGAGTTGAACCTAGAACAAGAGCTTTGAAGAGTTCAACATCTGCTTATTGATTAACTCCTCACCCAATACTGTAAAAGGAAAAAAACAACAACTGTCTTTTAATACTATTTATAAAGTCATTACTGTAACTAGCTTGTAGAATTATGATTAAGATAACAGATCTGCATTATTAGCAGGAATGTTATTAATAGAATGTGCAGGTCCTAACTTGGTTTCCCCAAATCATTTGAATATTTCTCCCTCTTTTAAATTAACATTTGTTGCTAAGTTATATATCTGTGTTCTGTAGCCCTCATCGCTTCCCTGTAGATGTTTATTACCAGTAGTCTGGTGTTACTTTGCCACTGGGCATGTGGGATAAAGCATCTGTCTCCGTTATGGGCTTTGGAGAAGTATTACTAGAACTGTGGTCACACTGTTTTTTGTCCTGCTCTGACGGATGGGTCTAATTAGTTCTGTGTGCTGGTGTCATATGCTGTATGTTTGATGGGTGCATTTTATGAATGCATAAGTTTCTTAATATTATTTGAGCCAAATAAAAAAGTTATGTTTTTTTTTTTTAAATCTTGCTCATTAGGTGTACATAGACAGTTATCTGCTCAGCATCTTTTTTTCCTCCACTGTTTTGTTTTTGTTGTGTGTTTTTGGCTCTTTAGGCTCAGATTTTTCAAAATAAATAGTTTTCACTTGATATTTCAAGCAGTATTTTTTTTTTCTTTGGTAACCTGAATGACAGTTATTTAAATAATTGGACGTGGGGAAAAAAAACATCAAACACTTTGATTCTATATTTGCATTATAATTAATGCATGGCCAATTTAAAGATGTCCAAATGACACAGGCTCTCACACTGCATTCTGATCGCCTTCCTGTTGCATCGCCATCTGTGGCAGAGGTGACAGATGCAACAGAGTGACAGATGATGGAAATGTATATTGAGCTGTCACCATTTTAAATCTCTTGAGGCACAATTCAAGTGACAACTGTGTGGAAGATTTCTAAGCTAAAATGTCTCAATGCTTACTAATTTATCCAATTTCTAATTTTTTCTCCTCTTGTCTTTTTGTATACTGTGCAGTATTTCTTCTTCCTGCTGTTAATTTTCTTGATTGAACTGGTTGCTGGAGTGCTGGCCTATGTTTACTACCAGAGGGTAAGCTATGAAACCTTGTATTTTATTTGCACAGAGTTTTTAAATTTACACACAGGTTACTGCGTGACATTGAAATGCATCTGCAGTTGAAACTCAAGTTGCTGAGAACTGAATATCCAAAACTAGCTTTTAGAATTTGATTTAAAAAAACTCAAACTGTTTTTGTCTTGTAAGCTGTAGAAGAATTATACACATATTTTTTTTTTCAAAAACATGTAAAAAGCTTTTTTTGATGAATTGTTAGATTATTAAGATTACAGACTTTCTACCAATTTAAGCTACATTGAGAGGACTCTGGATGTTTTGTGCACAAGGCATTCAAAAGATGAGATTAAAAATGAATAACTTTACTCTGCTTGCTAAGGAAAAGTATTCTTACAACATGATACTGCCATCACTACATTTCACTGTTAAGTGAAGTGAGAATGTGGAGCTAACCTCCTCACATGGTTTTAACAATAATTGGATGATAACAAGATACAGTTAAAAAAAACTTGGCCCCTTATATTTGAAATATAATAGAGAATCTTTCTTAAATACGTTGAGAAATGCATTGAGAACGATGGAGGGCTGGATTTGGTATCATACTCAAAAAAAAAAAAAAAAAAAGTAAATCACAGAGCAACCTGATTTAACTTGATTGGTAATGTCAGAGGACCATTGAGGTTTAGTTGTGTTTGGCTTCCACATGCTACTGTGAACTCCCTACAACTGAACCAGCAGATGATCAAGCAAGGGGTCTGTGGCTCTCATCTCAGTACCTGATAGAAAGCAGGGCAGCCCTCCAAAAAAAAAAAAAATTCAAGAATAACACAGTAACTAGCAACATACCAAACTGGTCATACTGGAAGATGTGGCAGGCGGCAGATCGTTCTCCATGTTGTCACAGACTCTTATTTCTGTCAGGTGTTATCTGTGAAGTGACCATCTTGGTGTTCTCTGGCAAATGCCAATCAGCCATGGGCTTTAAGCAGATGATGTACACAGTGCCCTGCTGGAGCTCATTCTGCAACACTCTGGCAGTACTCCTCTTGTTCCTTCTTCCTCAAGAAGAGCTCTGGACACTGTGTTGACAGATGTTGATAACCCTTTTGCCACAGCTTGCATTGCTGTACAATCTTGGAGGATGCTTGCACTACCTGAAGGACCTCTATGGTGTTTAGACAGCTTTTTGTGCTACATCTAGGTGTGAAAACACTAACGAAATGCAAAAATGACCAAAATATATGGCAGAAAGGATTAAAACTAATTGGTCTGTGGTCACAACCTGAAGAACCAATACTTTACAGAGGCTGCCTTGCTAATAGCTTCTTAGTTCCACTTATTGTCTGTTTCATTTGTACATCAACCAGATGAAATTACTTCACGATTTCTAAACTGGACAGGTTGATTTCACAGAAGTGGGATTATCTCAGCTTGATATTGTCGAGCTCTAGCCTTTATTACATTTTTGAGCAGTGTACATTTTTGTCACAAATAAGTTCACACAATGTAAGCTGTCAATAAAAAAATGTAAAGAAAAATAAATGTTGCACTACAGATTGAAATCTTCAGAAAAGCTAATTGTTTTAAGTGACGCTAAAAATAACAGCTTGAACAGTAATAAAATGTAATTAGCTGTTTTTGTCTTTTATGAGATTCACACCTATATTTACATATCTTAACGGCATGATATACATTCTGCTTTTTTAATTTATTCTATACCATTCATTTGATCATGTTCTGCATCCAAGCCATCTGTTGTTTTTTTTAAGACAGAACTTTGTGCTTGCTATCTCTAAGTTCAATATTTTTTATTTTCTCTATTCTTAACTCTAAGACAAATTTCAGAAATGTACTGTGTAACGCTGCTAACATATTTTTATCACTAATATAACAATTGCTTCTCCTTTGCTGTTCTAATTGCATATTTATTTTTTTTTCCTGTTTCTAGCTCAGTGATGAACTGAAGGAGCACCTCAACCAGACTATGACTGAGAATTATGCTCAGCAGGGGAAGGAGACAATCACTTCTGCAGTCGACAGACTGCAACAAGATGTATGAGAAATAATGAAAAGCTAATCTTGTTCATTTTATGTTGAAGCCTGCTGCCTCTTTCAAAAAGAATAATCAAATAGATTTGCTATAAAGCACATACTTTTACTTTCAACTTTGTAAAACTCATGCTTTGTTAGTATAAATAATTTTTCCAAAACCTATAATAAATTGAGTGTACTGGTAATCTCATTGAAGCAGAATATTAGATATTAACTGCCGGATTTATGAACCTAGAAAATTATGATATTAAGTTTAGAAAAGTAAATATGTATTGTGTAGCAACTTTCCATGTTTTAATGCCCTTAGGTTAAAAACACACCAGCCAACCACTTGTTTTATTTCTCTGCCTCTCCAGTTCAAGTGCTGCGGAAGCAACAACTCCCAGGATTGGATGCTGAGCGCATACATTAAGTCAGAACAATCAGGAAACCGGGTGGTGCCTGACAGCTGCTGCAAAACCGTTACCCCCAACTGTGGCAGGAGGGACCACCCTTCCAACATCTATAAAGTGGAGGTGAGTAATCCATTTTCTACAGGAAGGTGGGAAGCTCCATTCGAACTGCTATTAAGTACCTGTTGTAGAATAACATGCTGTATGGGTGATTTAACATAGTCAGAAAAAGGAGCTTTACACTTTTAATGGTAAGATGTATTAAGTTAAAAAGCTGTCCCACAAAAGATCCCTGTAATATAATATACATTCAAGCCTTTTTTGACAAAATGTGGTTAATTTGAAGGGAATGCTTTAGGAATGTTAAGAGTTACTGAGTCTCTTCGATGAGTACATGTGTCAGATGCAAGTAGCTCAGCAGAGCAACTTTGAAAAGGTGCAGTCTTGGAATGAAATGTAGATCAGTCGGTTTGCATGTCCTATCAATAAAACTCCATCTGCCTTTAATCAGATACTTAATTATTTTATTTAAAACACTTTCTACACAGTTGTGGCATTGAAGGAAAACATAAAGTATACACTTTACTAGAGTGTATAAAAGTTTTTATTCTGGAGAGCAATACTACTTGTTAACATACACTGTTAGAAAGACAGTTATCAGCACTAAGGAGGTGGAGCATAGACAGTGCATTGGTTGCAGAACCCCGTTATTGTGAGGAGATTTTATCGAAAAGAGCAAAGATGCACCCCGGTCCTCTCCATACTGCATTCAAGAAAGTGAAAACAAGAGTAGTGTTTTCCCTCCAGTCTTCACTGTTTAATGTCTGAAATATTTCTGATCTCCATTGAATTGTCTAAATTAAATTACTCTCTCTTTAGTAATTGCTCAACTTATCTATTTATCCTTGATTCTTAATATTATAAACTGTATATCTGTTGGGTGGGATATGTCAGAATTATGCGTCAAACCCTTAATTTCCCTCCTTCCATATGTAACAATGCTTTAATTGTGAACTGCGGCTAAAGCATTAAGAATTTCCAATCGTAGAATAGAATTCAAATTAATTGTCATTACACTGTTACAGGTACAAAGCAACGAAATATAGTTTGCATCCATCAAAAAGGGCTATGTATGTATGGACTATAAATTGTATATACAAACAGAGTGATTATAAGAGGCCATAATATAAAAAATATGGAATCTACAGATTATACAGGAAAGTTCGACTATGGATGATATATATATATTACACACACACTGTGGGGTCAAAAGGTTAGTCAGCCACTGCACTGATTGTGCAAGTTCTCCTACTTAGAATAATGAGAGAGGTCTGTAATTTTCTATGTAAGACAAAATGAGGAGCAAAAAATCCAGGACATCACATTGTATAAGAATTTATTTGTAAATTATGGTGGAAAAAAAAGAATTTTGTCAATAATTAAAGCTCAACTCAATACTTTGTTACATAACGTTTGTTGGCAATGACAGAGGTCAAACGTTTCCTGTAAGTCTTTACTAGTTTTGCACACACTGTAGCTGGTATTTTTGACCATTCCTCCATGCAGATCTCCTCTAGAGCAGTGACCTTTCTGTGCTGTCGCTGGGCAACACGGAATTTCAACTCCCTCCACAATTTTTCTATGGGGTTGGGGTCTGGAGATTGGCGAGGCCAATCAAGGACCTTGGAATGCTTTTTATGGAGCCACTCCTTCATTGCCCGGGTGGTTTGTTTGGGATCTTTATCATGCTGGAAGATCCAGCCACATTTCATCTTCAAGGCTCTCACTGATGGAATCAGGTTTTGGCTTAAAATCTAATAATATATGGCCCCATTCTTTCTTCTCTAAACACGGATCAGTTGATGTTTCCTCCCCCATGCTTCACAGTAGGTGTGGTGTTCTTGGGATGCAACTCTGCATTCTTCTTCCCACAAACACGATGAGTTGTTTTTTTACCAAAAAAAATCCATTTTGGTTTCATCTGACCACATGATATTCTCCCAATCCTCTTCTGGATCATCCATATGCTCTCTGGCAAACTTCAAGCTCTCTGGAGGTCATTCATCGGGTCCCTCCGTGTAGTTCTGGGATTTTTGCTCACCGTTCTCACATTCATTTTGACCCCACAGGATGAGATCTTGCGTGGAGCCCTAGATCGAGGGAGATTATCAGTGGTCTTATGTCTTCCATTTTCTTACAATTGCTCCCACAGTTGATTTTTTTTTCACACCAAGCTGCTTGCCTATTGTGGATTCACTCTTCCCAGCCTGATGCAGGTCTACAATTTTCTTCCTGGTGACCTTCAACAGCTCTTTGTTCTTGAGTTTGGAGTGTAACTGTTGGATGCTTTATACAGATAACTGGTTCAAACAGGTGCCACTAATACAGGTAACTAGTGGGGGACAGAAAAGCTTCTTAAAGAAGGAGTTACAGGTCTGCGAGTTCCAGAAATCTTGATGGTTTGTGGTGACCAAATACTTATTTTCCACCATAGTCTACAAATAAATCCTTTAAAAATCTGATTTTGTCTCTCATAGTCAAATTATATATATGATGAAAATTACAGACCTCTCTCATTATTCTAAGTAGCAGAACTTGCACAACCAGAGGCTGACTAAATACTTTTTGGCACCACTGTATACGGTATATATAATAATAGCAGATAAAAGATTTACAGATAATATACAGCTATAGTTGAGAAGTACGTGTAAATTGTGTTGGATCTGTAGGTTGTTGTGTCTGGAATAGCCACAACATGCATTTGTTTATAATAACATCCATTCAATGTTTGTCTAGGTACAAATGGAAAAGGCTTTTATGTTTTTCTTTTCCCCAAATTGCACATTTCAACTGTTTTTGTGTCGAATGATATGGTGACAGCAGGCTGATGACATATTAAATACACAAAATTGAAAACCTCTTTCTTTGTTTGCTGCAGCAGTTTAGATCTGCAGAAATGAAAACAAAGTCCTGTCTGTTCACTGAATTCTACAGTATTTTAAACTAGTTTTCCATTTTCTATTCAGGGTGGATGCATCTTTAAGCTGGAGCAGTTTCTTGCAGACCATCTATTGGTTATTGGTGCTGTTGGAATTGGAGTGGCCTGTCTTCAGGTAAGGATAACCTGACGGTGTGTTAATGCATGTAGAGAAGTAAAATACATTTATCAAATTTTTGCTTTCAGTGAAACAGAATCTACTTTAATCAAATATGCTTTATTGTTTAAAATGGAAAGCCTCTGCCCTCTGTTAAATAGAACCTTAGAAAATCCTGATGGACAGGATTTTAGTCTTTCCATAATGGAAAATCTAGCCTTGCAGGTCACAAACATTACCATATTAGAGCTTTTCCATTTTCCAATAATAATCCTGCTTTATCATAACAGTCCTTTTGTTTGTTCCATTCTGAAATGGACTCATGCTTTTAGGCACTGTGATGCATACACTCCATCGGCCATAACATTATGACAATTCACTTAGTTATAGGTACACAGCCAAATGCAACAGCATGCACATGTGCAGATGGGTGTTACATCAGTCACCATTGAAAATAAATTATTTGAGCTTGTTTGCTTGTAGGATTACTTACGTTCTACCATGAGTGCTCTGTAGAAATATTTTGGGTGAGATGCAGATGCTAAAGAAAATTCAGAAAAGTAGTTTCCTTGCTGTAATGGTTTACTTTATTGTTATGAGATGAAAGGTGTTGTGTGTTCTATTAGTCAGACAACAAATAACAAATAGCTCAATTTATTTCACTTTCTGCTAGTTGACCTTTTAGTACTGCCTCACCTTATGGACTAGTTTATGATCACCATGCCTATATTAACACGTAATATTATTGATATGTCCCTCAGTGGGAAAGTCAACATGTCTGTGCAGTAAACAAAAAGAAATAGAAGCATGCAGTTAACAGTTAAACAAAAATAAAAGCAAAAAACATGGTACAAGTTTTAGTTGTTTAAATCAGTACAATCAACAAACTAAAGCAGACTGTAGGTTAATTAGCACAGGGATACATATACAAGGCAAATAGAGACAAATGATTTTGTTCATTGTAACATTGACAGTGTGTTAAGAAACTCATTGCAATCTTTGTGGCTATAAATGTACAACTGCATATAATTAGAGCTTAGCACAAGCAGCTATTGGGAAAGTGCAACTTGCCCACAATCAAAACCATCACCATAAGTCATTTTAAATTATGTGCAGCTGTACCTCAGCACAGTTATGTTTACTCAATAACAGTTTATGATTTGGTGTTTGGCCTTCCTTACTGTAAATCTACATTCAGGGTTCCTACACTTTGGGGAAAACTATTAAGAATTTGAGCTTTAAAGGTGTCATATGATGGCAATATTTTTTTTATAATTTCTGGAATACATCCAGATGGTTTGCTGAAAATAAGGAACTGCTGTCTTGTCATTTAAGTCTTTCTTTTCCAAATATTTTCTTTTGTTTTCATGCTGCAACAGCCTTGCATCATCTTTTTTCACACTCACTTTTCGTATTTTATACTGACATTATTTACATGATTTCTGTGTTGAATGTTAACCCAGTAACTGTATATGTAACATCACTCTGACTCTTGTGCGTTCCAAATGTCTGTTTTGTATGTTTGGTTTCACTGTAGCTGGCCGGAGCACTCTTGACAGCCTGCTTTATCTATCTGCTCTATAAGGAGGAGGAGGAGGACTTTGGTGCATTGTAATTTGGCTCCAGAGCTCTTTGGTGCTTTTAATCAAATGGATAGACAAGGATGGAAGGTGCTGTAGATTTCTGACTCGCATGTTAATCCTTATTTGCATGCCTGCTCAGTACCAATTATAAATGCTGCATGTAAACGGAATGAATTCTCCTCTTGTTGTTTAAGGCCTACATTTGCATGGCTTTTTTGGTGTGTTTTAATTATGGAATGTTATTTAAAATGAGGATGCATGTCTGGTGAATGGCTTAATTAATCAGAACTGACCCATGTGTATTTCTGTAGTCGATTGGAACCATTGTGGCTCTTTTTGTGCCTGTGATGTCTGGAAATGTAAAGCTATGTGAAATAGCTTTCAGCATAAAGTATTTTTTGATTTTTTTAAACTGAGGAATTTATTTATTTATAAACAAAAACAAAAAACAAATGAAAAAGCATCACATGGAAGATAAAAAATGGGACGAATGAGCATTTGCTTATCAATAAGAGAATTGATGTGAACATTTAAATCCAATTTACAAAATTAAATTCTGTGTGAAAGCCTTATGCTGCTGAATGGACACAGCTCTAAGGAGATTTAGAGTTGAGCAACTCGTCCCTCATTTTCTTTAAAGTTTATGAAAACTTTTACAGTACAGTTAGATAGTATGCAGTAATGTAGAGGAAAGATCATTTTATTTATTTTTTACAGTGTTATAACAGCTTCGCCTCACTCCAAATCATTGTAATCAGATAAAATAGAAATGGAACCCTGGATCTACCTCTAAAGAGAACATGCCAATCCTGCCAACTAGCAAGGAACCCCATTTTGAACATGTGCTTTATGACTATAATAATGGTAATGTTTTCTGGGGGAGTGTTGGCCTAGTGGCTTGAGCATTGCGCTGTGCTGTGAGAAAGTTGCAAGTACCTGGTTCGATCCCCACAGCCTCCACTCTGGATTCCTAAGCAAGACCCTTAACCCCACACTGCTCCCCGGGCACCACACAATGGCAGCCCACTGCTCCCCAAGGGGATGGGTTAAAAGCAGCGAATGAATTTCCCTATTGTGGGACAATAAATGGATTTACACACAAAACAATTTTTTTTATTTGTTTTATTAGTTGTTCGATCAGAGGTACGAATCCAGGTTTCATGCTCACATAGAATGGATCACCTTAATTCTTTTGTCAAGGAGAAAATTGCAGAATTGAGATGGGTGTTAAGAGGGTTGTTCATTGCTTTTAGTTTTTGAAAAGTTTGTTCCCACATTCAAAGATGATTAGGTTATCTGCAGGCGATTTTTCTTTTTTTTTATGCAACACGATTAGCTAAAGTACCAGGCTAAATTATTCATGTTCTCTCTCTGTTTTGAGAATACTCATTAATAAATTGGTTTGTAATTTCAGTATGGTCTCAGTTAATCATGTGTAGACTTAACTCTTAAGTTTTTTGCTTTCTTGTTATACAACTTTTGTTAAAGATGGCAACAATTATTGATTAGTGTTTTAAATGCTCTCCATGCAGCTTCTCCCAAATTGACAGCAATGTAAGCACAGCAAGCAGAGCAGGTCACATGACGTACTACTAATAGCCACTACTTGACTTGAATGTCAGTACAAGTCAAGTATTTTAAAAAGATTCAATTTCTTTTTTCACGAGCGCCTATTTGTGTGCATCTTTTTTATGTGTTTTTTAAATATCATAAGAGACAACTGATCCATATCCAAAGAAATTTGAACCAAGATCTATTTTTTCACTGAACATTGGTCCAGAACCCCGGAGCATTCTGGGGGATGTAGTCAGAAGAAGGTTTTAGGGTGTCAGCCTCTCACTGCCAGGCTAACAAAGTGGGTGGTAGGACTGACCTCTTTTTAGAGGTTACCCTTAAAAAAGGATTACATTTTGTATTTAGCCTTTTTACCTGGTCTCTGTTTAAAATAGGTTAAAAAGGGAGAAAAATGTGTCAGTATAAACAAGTGTTTATAGCATGCTACATTTTTAGCAATTTTACATTGCCCAAATTGACCAGCGGTTTAGGGTCTTCCCTACCTCTCTGGAAATAGTCACCAGCACCTTTGTGACCCTGCAAGGAAAGGTGGATACAGGCAAATGCTGGATGGATTTCCTTTTTTGGCATATTTGCTTTTCTTCTTGTGCTTGCATTTATCTGTGTATTATGTAGTATTGTAGTATTTTGTAGGTTTTGATTCCAAACTTTTTTTGTTTAGATTAATCAAAAATATTTTTAATTACTTAAATCTAAGAGGATCAATCAATGTGCATGTTTTCGTGTATAAATATGCACACCTTCCAAATACATCCACCTTCATTTTGGTTTTGCTTGTTCAAGCATGGTGTTTTTGCAGCAATATCTTCTTTTGTCCTCCCATCACCATAGCAACCAGCTTCACACTTTCAAATAGCTTCAAACTCCATCACCTTTTAACCCTTCTCTGCTCTCCAGTCAACAGCTTTCAAGCTGCCTGCAGTCTCCCATGGTGAACATTTGACTTAACACTTGCTGTTTTCAGATCTGTGGGATGGTGTTCACCTGCTGCCTGCACAGGAGGATCAAGATGGATCCTTACTAGGCACACAAGACCCCAACAAACCACCAGTAAAATGAAGATGTAGTAAAGCCTGCTGACGCCCAACTTTCACGTCTGGATCTGAAGTCTAATCAGAGAATAAAAATGAAGTTCACTTTATCAGAAACCAATTCAGCCATTGAGTGGCCCGGCACAAAGAAAACTAATACATTCACCTGGTTTACATGCATGGTTTATATTGAGCTGAACTTGGCTTCAAAAACTAGGGAAAAATTAGTCATTGTTGCCTTTAATTTTCCAGACTTCTTCATGCTGACTTCAGACTTTGAGCATATATAAGAACTGAAAAATGCAATGGCTACTTCTTTCATTGTTTATGAAGAAAAGGAACAAAATGTGCCTTTCTTAGGAATCTTCTAATCAATAGTTATCTGCTAACTGAGTGCCTTTCATCTTTAAAGAAACCACCCCAATACTGTATGTATATAAGAGTGCTTATTTGAATGATTCAGACAAAGCTATAATGTTTGACTTGACAGGAAGAATTGGTTATGCTGTCAACACTGCAACACTCTAAAGTTCACGCACATGGAGCATCAATTTAGATAGAATTTAGAAGTCTGTTTTTAGACAGGCTGAAATATCTCTGAATTTATAACTCCATCTAGTGGACGTGGTTCTATGAAACAAAATATGTTTTAATGAAAGAAACTAAAAATTAAAATGTCTTCCTTTTCTGTGTTAGTGTTAATCACTCCTGATTAATACTTCTGCACACTATGATTTTCCACATGAAATCTAAAGGACTTGTTATTTCATTCCTTTCTGAAACCATTGTTATAGTATATGCTACAGATATATTGAATTATATATTAGAGAAACATGTACTACTATCATTATTGCATTTGATTTCGTTTTTTTTTTTCTTCAAATTTTTTTTTTGGTTTTTCATCACCTAAACTGATTAAAATAATATGGTATTGTAAATGTCTGATTTCTTTTTTGGAACTCAAAGTTTTGGACATTGTTTTTTTTCTTGCAATTAAGTTCTTAATAAAATATGCAAATAAATGAAAATTGTTACTAATGAACTGGTAATACAATGGCAGGTTATCCGTTTATTCTGATTTTTAACTAAATATTGGAATGTCATAACATTACCTTTAGTTTATAAAATCCCTGTTAGTATATAAATCCTATATTTTTGTTTATCAGTCCATTTTGCCTATAAAGAATAATCGGTAAAACAAAATAAGATCCTTTTGTTTCATCTTTTATAAATGCGAAGAGTATGCATTTCTCAGTTTTCTCGTCTGATGAAAACTTCTGCTTCAATGTAACCACTAGAGGGCGACAAAGACCTTACATTTGAAGTTTTACCTTTGCACCCTGAAAATCTAATTTAATATTGTTTATTATTGTAAATTCACCTTATTCTCCCATATGGTAAAATTATTCATCTCTGTTTTAACGCATAACCTTCTGGAACAGACTGAGTAGTGCATGGGGAGCTTTCTGGGTTAAAGACATAAAAGTCATGCTCAGGGACCTGGAGCTTCTATAGTGGTTAGAACATTGCCAGGCCTCGGTTCCTCTCTGGACCTTACTTGTCATCACTCAATTTGCCTGATTGATGCATGAATGTTATCACTTGTGTGCTCATCCATTACTAAAAATCAAACTTGTAAGCCACCCATCAACATGGCAGATGTTTAACTTATTACCTTTGGGTCACTAAACCTTATGAATCATTTGACTTGTGTCGATTTATTGTTAAGGTGTAGATCATATGCATGTTTTGGCTAGGTTTCTGTTTGTATTGGAAAAAAGGCTTAAGCCATCAGAGAATATGTGGTTTTTATACCTTATATGTACGAAAACTTTGCAGAAGCACTGTGGTTCCTACAAATGCTACAGTAAATCTCAAATTCCTTCCTTTGGTTTTTGTTTTGGAAGGTCTTTCCTTTTTCCGTCCATGCTAAAATAAATGAGCATCTTTCTGCTCTGCTGTTACTTTATTTCACTGCAATTTGTTTTTGCTGTTTTCTTGTACATATTAGTTTCTCTTCAGACCTGTTTAAAAAGATGAAGCATGCATATTTGCTGGTGCCTTTTAAACTATTAGGATTGATTATTGTTGTTGTTTTAGGCCACTGAACCAACTGAAATTTTACAGCTGTATTAAACACATTGAAGATGGTTTGTAGTTAACGTGAAGCATTGTTTGGGTTAAACCAACCATGCACATCACCATAACACTGCATCCCAGTTGAAACATGCTGGTGATAGCGTCATTCAAAGTTAGATAGGCATGTGATGATTGTGTGAATTAAACTGTTTGCTTTTATATGAAAAATAAAAATACTTTTTTGACAGACCAGCACTGCTTAAATCTGTGTGCATGTTTTCTCTGAGGATATGAATGCTGTTGGAGTATGCTGACTAACTCTTAAGATGTGGTTTTGGCTTAGGGATAACATCTTTACCCACTATATTTGCTTTGTCTCTTATTCAAAATGGAAAACATGATTCCTCATTAATGTCTTATTTTTTAAAGAGAGTTGATGACTGTAAATTACAGTAATTTTAATGCTTAATAAAAACAGAAGAAAAAAAAACAAAAGCTTAATGCCTGTTTGTTTGCACGTTTTGGCCTTTTGACCTACCTACTGTAGTATTGGAACTTTTCCTTCCTCCTCCTCCCTGCTCCAGATATCTTACACAACTCTATATCTGTACAGGGCCATCTGTCACTGTCACCCATTTAGCAAAAAAAGGACAAACTTGTAAGAGAATCTGGATATTCTCCAACATTCAACTTCTTCCTGCCTATAGAGCCTATCTGTCCCCTTTTGTCTTCATCGTCTATAGGAGGATGGCTCTCATTTCCTGCAGATGTCATACATTTTACACTTCAGAGACATTGACTAGATAGGAACACAGAGAAATGAGAAGCTGTATGCATTAGCATGTGGTCTCTACCCTCTGCCAAGAAAGACCAGAGAGAGAGAATTGGGAGCAGCTGGAGATTTCACCACTTCCCATGTAATGTAGGCCTCTTTGCATCAGAAGCATACACGCAGCATACACTCTCTGTTCTCAGCACATCGATGCTTCGGGGCTCATGGTTTACTGGGGAAACTATAGAAGTTCCTCAAGGACACTTTGTTCTATAGTTTCTACAGCTGACCTGAAAGCTAACTGTGTATTTTCTTTAGCTCAGATAACCCGGATAAACCAGGGTGTGTCTTTAACAAGTCAGCCTGTCCCAGCACCAGTGGTTTTTGCATTTTTAAACATTCTTCAGTGGTCTGTACCTGCACCTGTATTCAATATAAGCTGGGGTACTCATGGCTTTAGTTGTAATGATTAAGTGTTGGGGTGCCTGCAGTATATAAAGCAGGGAGAGAATTTCTGTAACATATTTTTGTCCAAACATTTCAGAGCCTCCAGATTCACTTGAAGTAGTTTTATTAATTGTGTGTTTATGATTCCTTGTTTACAGCAATGAACACTATGGTAACATCATACCCACATGCCATTTATGTAAATACTGTATGTTTGTCCTATTAAATGGTTCAAGTTTATGTTTTAAAAAAATTAGACCTATGGAATATTAGACCCAACTTTAATTTATAATTAAATGGCCAAACAGACCTCTTCCCCTGCTTTGATTGTATTAAATACAATGCTGCCTCATAGATTCATCTACATATCAAATACTTTATTATCTAATTGAGAAATAACAAAGTTCAGGTTAGACCTGACCAACTACAGCTCTGTATTTCATTTGGTCTTCAAATCCCACTGACTGTCATACAATCTAGGGTTGAACAGTTTTGCCAAAAATTTGAAATTGCGAATACTTTAAACAAAATTGAGATGCTAAGCTGGTAAATGTTTCATCCAGACGTTCGAGTTTTGAAACCTTGCTTCCCCAGACTCCATTGTTACAAGACTTTCTTGTAACTTTTGTAGGGCTGCAACAAATGACTATTTTGCAAATCAATTAATCTGTGAATTATTATTATTATTAATAATCAGATAGCCAAAGGTTCATTAAAGAAGACTTTTTAGAAAATTAAACCAGGTGATACTAAAACTTTTCCATTTGAGGAGTTCTGGATAGAGCATATTGATGGATGAAAATATATATTTTTTTGATCATAAATGCAAAATATTTATATGTTACAATTGTAGCATAATTGCTACTCTAAGTGAGTTGCTCTGTCAGGTAAAGGCTCTACTCTCCAGCTAACAATTAATCAATTACTAAATTAGTTGACGATTATTTCAATAACCGATTCATCACAATCTGATATGTTGTTTTAGCCCTAAGCCAATGTGTGAAAAAGTGTTAACTTGCATGCATGGATCATCCTCCTAGCTGCAACTCACTCTACCTTTCTGTGTGGTAACAAACCCACTTCATGCATTAGCGACCACCTAGGGGCTCGGGGGGAAATCTATTCTCAAGACATTTCAGACGCTTGTTAAATATAGTGTGATTAAAAATCTGTTCCTCTGCGATTTAAAAATGTTGTTTTGTTAAACTGCAAATGCATTTAATTGCCCAGCCCTAGTACAATCATTAACTTCTTAAAGAATTTGCATCTGGTCTGCAGCACATTAATTCTGGCTGCAAGTGTTTGACAGATCCCCACAGGAATTAAAAGGAAAGTGAATGAATTTGAATGATCTCTGACTGTCCAGAAAAAAACTCCAAATAGAAAAGCTTAGCATATTTTGAACTCTAAAATCCTTTTTTTATTGAAGTTTGTATAAGTGTTTGGGATCCTTGACCTTTTGGAACACCCAGTATACTCTAAGCTGTCATTGTTTATCCTCTGATTAGAGGTTGAAGGATTTTGAGGTCTCCGGGGTGTTCATTGTTTCCTCCTGGTGGGTCCAATATTTTAGCACCACTGAGAATAGGATAGTCTCTCAGCATGATGGTGCAATAACCATATTTGACAGTTCTAACATTGCTCTGAAATTTGAGTCTTAACTTGATGTTGTTTATGCTGTGCTGTTTTATTTATGCCTAAAACTTCTCTACTGGGGTTAGTTGGTGGACTGTGAAGTCAATAGCTGTGTTTTCACTACAAATATGAGCAAAACTTTGCTGACTTTCTGCTAATGTGAAAAAAAACATTTGGGTCACTTCTATTAAATTAAAATCTTGTCAATCCAAGCGTCATC